TAAACTCTATAAATGCTCTAAAAGAGCACAGCGACAGAGCGCAGACAGACTGATGCTACGGTTCCTGAGCCCTGCAGGGGCAGACTGGCCAGCTGGAGCACCCGGACATTTCCCGGTGGCCTGGCCCGCTCACTGATTGTCGAGAGGCCCCCTCATTCCTCTTTTTGAGGCTGTCTGTCACAGCAGAGTAGAGACACACAACAGGTTGCTCACCCGCCTGGTGTGTGTCTCTACTCTGCTGTGAAAGACAGCCTCAGGAAGAGAAAGGAATGGGTGGGGTCTGTCTTTTCCCATCACTACTGCTTAGAGAGCTTCAGTGAAGTGGACACCTCAGTGAGCGGCATGGATTGTTTATTTAAAATAATCAAGCGCGACTCGGACCGAGCCTTTGGTCCAGCCCCGCGGCGATCACTGAGCAGGCCAGGCCACCGGGAAATGTCCCGGTGCTCCCAATGGCCAGTCCGCCCCTCAGCACAATGCTCTGATTGGTTGCCTTTCATCAATCAGCCAATCGTGTGTCATGCTCAACCTTACGTTGAAAACCTGCGAAAAAGTGAGTCCGCAAAAGTCAAACCGTGAAGTAGCGAGGGACGACTGTACTAACATTCATTCCTTTATGATTTTATTAACTCCATCCAGTGGGTCATCAAATATTTTGCTAACAGACAGAGTTGACTCCAGCAATTAATGCTAAAGTTTTAAGCACTTGGAGCATGTGTGAAGAATGACTTTCAGCTACTGTCATGCCAAATTAAACTAAATATTAGTCAAACTGGCTGTTGTAGCTATTTGTTGTGTTTCTTGGCTGTTGGCCACCTTGATTTGAGTTGACTCCAAATGTTAATTAGTTCATCCCATTACTTTTATTAAAACCCAACCACTGGTTTATATTTTGTTAGAGTTACAGACAAACGAACACACGCATCAAAACACTAAAAAAACCTTTCTGCCTTCAACAGCAGGTGATTAAAAAGTTTTTTTTTTTTTAAGGTGAACAGTGTTTCTAATCTACATTATGCCAGGAAGGATTAAATGATAGATCTTTAAAAGGGAGTATTTGTGTTGATATAAGCTGACAAAGACCAAGGAACTTGAAGTGTTTTACATTAGCACTCAATCCCTCAGTGCTGTTTCTTACGAATGAAAGGTTCTCCGGGGGGAGCGCTCTCTAATCATCAGCTCTCCCTTCATGTGTTGCTTAATTAATGCTAAAGAACAAACATCCATTTAGGCTCCAGTCACACTTTAAAGAGTTGTAGCACGGTCACTTATTTTAATCCAGATTTCCAGCCATAAAGTTAACTAATTAAATTTTTGACTTGCTTAAAGTTGTCGTATATTGAACTGAAATGACAAAACCTGACAAACTCCCCTTGAACAGGATGCTTGCAGTTAGAAAATGGAACTTCTGCTCGTCCTTCTGTCTGCCGTGTCCATGAAGTTTGTGTTTGCATTTAATTCAGCCCTGGATTTGCTGTAGAGTGACCTCTCACATCAGCTGTACAAATCTCTCCACACTCGTGCTGGGAGTTTGTTTTTTCTTTCCCCTCGTGCTCTGTGTATTTAACATGACTCTGCTCCACAGAGGGGGGCTCATGAGATCCGCGAGATTCGACAGTTTCATTTCACCGGCTGGCCGGATCACGGCGTGCCCTATCACGCCACGGGCCTGCTGGGGTTCATTAGGAGGGTCAAGTCCAAGACTCTGAACAACGCTGGACCCATGGTGGTTCACTGCAGGTTTGTGTGCATGGAAACGCAGCTCCCCGTCTTCTGTGTCTGCTCTGTCGACAAATGTTAGAATATTTGTCTTCAAACTCTCTTGGTCCAGTTTTCTGAAGACAGGCCTGAATACATGAATCCCAGTGCTGTTGTGATCATTCAATATGAAGGTGTAATATTCAGAGAACAAGCAGACAAAATGATTTTAAAGTTGTAGTTTTATTTAGGATTGTCTTCACAAAACAAGTTCGAGGTCTGAAAACACAACCAGAATTAATACGTAAGGCGCACTGGATTATAAGGCTCATTGTCGATTTTTGAGAAAATTAAAGGATTTTAAGTGCACCTTATAGTCCGAAAAATACAATATGTAGTTTTAGACTTTGGGGTCAAATTTGGGAAGTAATGTTACAATGGCACACGATATAGAGGATCTTGTGTCTTTGAGTGCCTAGGCTGTGTGTTTGGAATGACTCTCAACTACTACCACACTAAATTTGAGCTCAATAGGTGCATAGGGGCAGAGCAGCCGACCCGAAGGTCCTGGGTTCAATCCCCGGTCTTTGCACATCTCGTGGTGTCTCTGAGCAGGACACCTTATCCCCAGTTGCTCCCCTGGCACTTTCAATAGCTGCTCACTGCTCCACCTGGTGGTGGATAGGTTAAATGCAGAGAGCCAATTTCACCATTGCATGGTAACATACAATGATGACAATACACATTCTTATTATTATTATTATGAACTGACTTATATCTATTATTTTATTGCTAATGTCAGTTAGCTTCGACAGTCGTAATGAGTTGACTCCAAAAGTTAATCATTAGCTTTTAGGAGATGAGCAATAAAAATTTGAAATATGAGACATTTTATTGCTGTGTGGTAAAAAATATATATATATATATATATCATTTTGAAATTGCTGCCAATGAGATATTTTTAATTTTTACTGTTTCTGGCACGTTGACCAAAAGCAGGAGTAGGATACAGGATTCCAGCTGCTCAACAGGAAGAGATATCCTTTGTTGAGGTTGTTTTGTGTGTGTGTGTGTGTGTGTGTGAAATGTTTTTTGTGTATAATAAATGTGAGCGAGCCTGTTTTAACACCCTGGAAGCAATCTTTTCTGAAAAAGGTGACATGACTGTATTTGTTTCTTCAAAACCTGTTAAATGACTGAACATTAACGGCACTTTAATAAATGTACAAAACGCCCATTTCATGTGCACTAATGCACCTCTGCACAGATGCAGGCTTTAAACTTTTGTGCCTTTACCAGGCTGAATGATTCATCACCTCTTTAATCAGAAGGTTAATCAGTTAAAATTAAAACAAATATAATTAAACTTTGACTTGTCAGATTTTATATATTTTAGTTTTACCACTGTGCATTTTAAATAAACTGCAGGATGGACTTTTTAAACTTGATTTGTGGCTGCTGCACCAAAGTGTGCTCACTAACAGAGATTTTCTAAGGCGTTCCTGAGCCCCAACAGTGATTTCCACAATAAAAGCATGTCTGTTTTATTTATATATTTTTTGAGTCAGTGTTGCCCGAGGCCCTGAAGATCAGAACCGTTCAGTATTGGTTTTCAGCTTTGTCCCAGGTGCATAGAGATTGTGTGTGTGTGTGTGTGTGTGTGTGTCTTCTTTCCACTTTTTATTGCCATTTTAGCCACATGGATGATAATATCACCAAATTCTTCAGAGCATTACTTTGAAAAATGTTAATCTCAAATTGTTGACTTTTTTTTTTGTCTTACTCATAGTGATGACATATAAACAGTGTTGACTCAACGGTTAATGTCCAAGGTCTGAACAAAGAGCTTGCAAAATGTTAGCAGTTGGACCATGTGTTGAGGATGAGTCTCAGCTACTACCACACTAATATATCTGTAAATCGCATTGAGTTATAGCCATTTATGTATTTACGACGGTTGATTAATGTGGCAGCTGCCTTGAATTGTGTCAACTTCAGAAAGTAGTGAGTTGCAGATATAAATCCAATGAGACGTTTTGCTAACAGACAAACAAATGCAGACAGAGGCAATTAGAAGATGACCTGCCTTTCACAGCAGAAGAAGACGTTTGTCTTGGGTGTTCCTTTATAATATCTTATCAGACATGTCATATGGGTGTATGGGTTCTGATGAGTGCGTTTGTTTGCAGCGCTGGGGCCGGTCGGACCGGCTGCTTCATCGTCATCGACATCATGCTGGACATGGCGGAGAGGGAAGGCGTGGTGGACATTTACAACTGTGTGAGGGAGCTGCGCTCACGGAGGGTCAACATGGTCCAGACTGAGGTACGGTGAATCTGCCCTTCCAATGATCTCGGCACAAACACGTCAGTAAAATGTGAACAGACTGTGGCTATTAAAGGTGGATTAAGTCATATTCATGATTAATTCCTCACATAAGCCCGCTGCTTGAAAACAAACGTTCAATTATCAGAGAAGCACTTCGACTAAAAGCAAAATGTGGATTATTTTGTTGTTAGGTTAGCAGCTCACATGGCCAAAAAGAGGTTTCTAAATAATTTACCATCAACTGATCTCAGTAATGTATAGGAATGCACTGATACAGTACTCCCTCGCTACTTTACGGTTCGTTTTTCGCGGACTCGCTCCATCACGGTTTTTCAAAATACGATTGGACATGACACACAACTGGCTGATTGATGGATGAGCCACACGATCAGCATGGAAGTTTTATTTAAAATAAATCATTTTAAATTATTTAGTGCCTGCTGCACCTTTGTGCAGCCCACACTGCAGAAAAAGCTTCCTCCTGCAGCTGATCAGCTGTTCTCCATGCAGAGTGGAGAAGTGGGCGTGGCCAAGAGCTCTTGCAGGTGGCAGAGAGCAGCAAGGCAGAGCGAGGGAAATCTTGGCATTCTGTGCTTCTTTCATTAGTTTTATTGATGGTTATCAAACAGCTTTATGGTGCATTATCACCACCAGCTATGGACTGTGGATCAGGACAAATAACACAAAAATAAAAGAAAATACCATCAACATGACTAACTCTGCTCCTCGTCTACCACCTGGTTGTTCAGCTGAGAGATTAATACCACACAGCTGTAAAGTGGGATTGGTATAGTAGTACCAGAAGACCTTTATGAGTACAACTACATGCACAAGACATCTGACAAATACCCAATACTGGTACCGGTTATCAAGGCATCCCCATCTTAAATGCAACATAACTGTTTTCAGTTTTTGTTGCACATTCAAGTGGTCGGAACCGGAATGAATTTGATTAAATAACTAGCCCATTTAAATTTAAATTAACCTCTGATTGGTTGCCTTTTTTGCATTTGTTTGCTTTGTGAAGCCCATTAAAAGTGTGATTGTTTACAACTAAATGTTTCAAGTGATTAGAGCAGGACTCTGTTTTATTGCACACTATCAAGTCATCACCCGTGCGTTAGCATTTGTAATGACCATTTTTGTAGCATAAACATTTAAAGAACTGCACACAATTATTTCACAGGGTGCAATGCAAAAGTGCTTGGCAATGCATGCTGTAGTTAAGGGCTTCAGAGGCTTGGAACAGGGAGGATTTAGTTCATATCAGTGACTGAAAACATTCCTGGCTCGTATTCCAGCTTTGTTCCAATGTGGACAACCGAATGACTTTCCTGAACGCCGGCCATCTGGAGATGTCCATAGTGTTGTTGAATGCATCATTTCCCCGTAATTCTGTTTAAATCACAAGCGTCATTGGACTTAATGGGCAAATGTTTCATCGCTGACGTTTGAATGGGGATTTGAGCAACCGGAGACCAAACGTTGAGTCATCCTCCTGAAGTTCAGTGACCTTCAGAGTGTTTTCCCTTGCAGGTGTTCAGGCTCGTTTGGCAGAGCTCCTCGGTCTGCCGTCAGACACCAACACTCCCACGTGCTTCAATTCGTGCATGAAAACACTCTGCCTCTGTTTATGGTTTACAACGCTCGGAAAAGATCCGTGGAGTTGGAGAGTGACGGCGAGGCGACCTACTGACCCCAGCACAGACCACTCCGACTCAGTCAACAGCTCTCTCATCCATCTCATGGACAAATAACAAATGGCAGAACATGTTTCTCTTTGAATCTTTACATCAGTGACCCTGTGCGTGGATTTTGGTACAAAGTGACAAGGAAGTGTCAGCTGCAAATGTCACTTCAGAGTAGATTTGCATCAAGCTTCAAGCCGTGTCACCGTCTCCATCGCTTGACTGATCAACTTCAAGAGGAAGAGATTGTGCCGTATTTTCTGCTTCAGTGCCGTTTTTGTTGGACATCAGTTTTTATGACTTTATTATTGCAGCACTTGTTATGGGGAACTAGAACCGCGCATGCTCAGGTTTCGTCAAATCCCTACAGATTATTGAGAAAAGGTCAGGTAATTTCAGAAAATACTCAAAAGGTAGCTTTTAGAAGAGAGTAAAATCCGTTTTGTAGCAAAACAAAATGCTAAAATATGTAACGTAACCTTTGAACACAGACAATGACAAATATTAGTCAGAAAAATTGCCAAAGGGGTAAAGCGAAAATATGGTAAAGTCAAGAAAAGGTCATTGAAATCTTAGGAAAACTGGAAAGATCTCCTGGTTTGTTTTTCCTGCTGCTGTGAAAGTAACGTATGAATTTGTGTTTTATGTTCTTGAGATCTAGGATGTTTGATGGATTCGCAATGAGGATGCTGTTTTTTTCAGGAGCAGTATGTTTTTATCCATGATGCCATTTTGGAGGCATGTCTTTGTGGCGACACAACCATCCCTGCCAGCCAGCTCCGCTCCGTCTACTACGACATGAACCGCCTCGACCCGCAGACCAACTCCAGTCCCATCAAGGAGGAGTTCAGGGTGAGCAAATATTTACTGGAACCAGAGAAAACATAAACGCTGAGTGCTAAATGACTCTGCTGGAGTTATAGCTAAAAGCTATAAAGAGTAAAATGCAAGATAAAAGATAAAAAAAAATGCAAAACGTTAAGTAAAATTAAAAATAGCAAAATGTTAGCTAAAAGCTAGAATCAAAAAGGCTATCTAGGAACTTAAAGTACTAAAAGAATGGCTAGAAGATAAAAGTAACAAAAAAAAACAGCTAAAAGTATCAAAAGGCTAGCTAAAAGCTAAAGCCTAAAGAGTAAAATGCTAGATAAAAGTTTAAAAATGCAAAATGTTAAGTAAAATTAAAAATAGCAAAATGTTAGCTAAAAGCTAGAATCAAAAAGGCTATCTACAAACTTAAAGTACTAAAAGACTGGCTAGAAGATAAAAATAACAAAAAAACAGCTAAAAGTATCATAAGGCTAGCTAAAAGCTAAAGCCTAAAGAGTAAAATGCTAGATAAAAGTTTAAAAATTCAAAACGTTAAGTAAAATTAAAAGTAGCAAAATGTTAGATAAAAGTAGTATAGCGTATAGTAGCTAAATGCTAGCTAAAAATAGCAAAACATTTGCTAAAAGCTAGAGTATAAAAAATGCTATCTAGAAGCTTAAAGTACTAAAAGCTTAAAGTATCAAAAGGCTAGCTAAAAGCAAAAAGTATAGCACTAGCTAAAATTAGTAAAATGCTAACTGAAAGTTAAAATAAATCAAACAGTAGTTAAGGCTAAAAGTAGGTGAAAAGTTGCTAATAACTTAAAGTAGCATAAAAAGACAATTAGGCTTATTTTAATGTTTCAAAAACATTTCTGAAGAAATTGGAAAAAGTATTATTATATTTCTATGGGGAGAATGTTTGTAAATAAAAATGTGCCATACCATATCAAGTACCTTATATGGAATAAGCTGAACATTTTTTACAAACTGCTAAACTTACACAAAGTATGCAGAAGTAGTTTAATTTTAAAAACGAAGAAAAATATGAAAGTCC